TAAAATTTACTAAAAAAAAAAAAAAAAAGGCGCTCCCACCAGAAAAGAAGCAAAACACTGGCTCAAAGAAGAGCAATAAAAATAAGAGTGGCAAGAACCAGTTCAACAGAGGTGGTGGCCATAGAGGACGTGGAGGATTCAATATGCGAGGTGGCAATTTCAGAGGTGGAGGCAAGTTAATTTTAGTGTTTTACTTAATTGAAATTTAGAAATGACTGAGGATTTTACAGTTTAAGTTTGTGGAGTAGCCAAGAAGAAAGTTTCTTAGCTAATTCTATGCTGCCGTGTTTAACTAGTATGTAATTTAAAATTTACACTAGGTATACAAGTGTTAAAATTTGGTGTTATTTTTCACTAATGCTATAAGTTAACAGTAGGAATTGTACTTTGTACAGCATAAATAACTAAACTGAACTCTGCTTGTGTTTAGCTCCTGGGAATCGTGGCGGATATAATAGGAGAGGCAATATGCCACAGAGAGGTGGCGGTGGTGGAAGTGGTGGAATAGGCTATCCATACCCCCGTGGCCCTGTTTTTCCTGGCCGAGGTGGTTACTCAAACAGAGGGAATTACAACAGAGGTGGAATGCCCAACAGAGGGAACTATAACCAGGTAATGACTCCAAGAGGTGCTGACATCTATAATTTGGTGTAGAAAGTTGACAAAATTTGCAATGGTGGCATTGACATAATTGCAAAACAACTTACTGATCTTTCAGATACGCTGACAGTAACAACAATGAGCATGGGCGGGGCTTTATAAAGGGTATCTAAATGCTCCTTAAAATTGTCTAACCTTTGCTTCAGAGTTCTTTATTTACGGATTTTTTTTTTCTTTCATAGAACTTCAGAGGACGAGGAAACAATCGTGGCTACAAAAACCAATCTCAGGGCTACAACCAGTGGCAGCAGGGTGTAAGTAGTTTCTTAAGTGATTAATAAATTGCAGTGTTTATGTTTACAAGAATCAGGTGGAAGTGTACTATATACATTAGTAGGACATATTGTCTATTGTTACTGTGTTATAAATTATAACCATGGTTAGGCTGGAGTTTAATAGTCTTAAGATAAAGTAATAATACATATGGTTTTATTATATGGCTTTTTAATAGTTTAAATTACATAAACTAACCCAAGTCTTGTGTTTCTTTTTGTAATGTGTATTGGTAAATAATATGGGTAATAGGTAAAATAAAAATTAAGTCTCTGGTTTATGTAGAAATTAAGTGTGACAAGTATAAATTTGTTTTCAGCAATTACTCTGAATTAGATCATTGTCATTTCCTAAAAGCAATTTGAGTGGCTTATTGATGTTTTTTTCTTTAAAAACAAAATTTTCTCTTACAGCAATTCTGGGGTCAGAAGCCATGGAGTCAGCATTATCACCAAGGATATTATTGAATACCCAAATAAAACGAACTGATACATATTTCTCCAAAACCTTCACAAGAAGTCGACTGTTTTCTTTAGTAGGCTAACTTTTTAAACATTCCACAAGAGGAAGTGCCTGCGGGTTCCTTTTTTAGAAGCTTTGTGGGTTGATTTTTTTTTTCTTTTCTTTTTTGTACATTTTTAATTGCAGTTTTAAAGTGAATCGTAAGAGAACCTCAGCATTGTGCACGATAAGAGAATGTGTCAGTATTTCAGGGTTCTACATTTTATCTGTAAAATGTGACTTTTTTTTTATCACAACAAAAGTAAAATGTTGCTTTGTACCTGGTGTCTTTTATTAAGCATTTACTCCCCCGTTTCTCACAGAGAATAACAGTCGGGAGTCATTGTCACAATAAAATAGCAATGTTAGCAACCAGATTCATGGAAGGACTAAGTGTCCTCATGAATTGCACAAGATTCTGTACTGCTCATGATACACTCCATCCTCTCTGTGAACTGGTGGGTAATAGTGAAAGAAATTTCTGACAAACCGGGAAGGCTATTCTTTTTTTCTGTTCAACAACGGAATTTGGAACAATTGGGAATGAAGATAAAATTTGGAACCAAGATTTGAGAAGATGGAGTGTATGTAGAAGGGCTTTTAAAAATGTAAACTTGGTTGCATTATATGTGGAGGCTCAAACTTGTGAAGGTTAAATACCATAAATTTTTCCATTTGTTCTGCATTTTGATTCTGAAAAGAAAGCTGGCTTTGCCCATTTCTTATTAAAAAAAACTTGTTGTAAATCCAGTTGTCTAATGGGATCTATATGAAGTTAGCTATGTCTGTATGCCCTTCTCCCACAAAATACTGTAACTAGTGTGCTTGTAGTAGTTAACTCCACCATCTTTGTAAGCTAATGAAATTGTGAGTCACCCATTTATATCTTTTAATCATGTCAGTTCTTGAATGGGTATCTCCTTAGCCTGCTGATTTCTTTTTCTTTCTAAAGAAAGTGGGTGGAGAAATTAATTTAGACATTTGTTTGCAATAAAAGAATTCATTTTACTCTTGTTTGGGATTCTCGCCATCAAGGTTCAAAATCCCTTTATACTACAACTCCCAAGAGGAGAAATTTAAGTGTGTGCTCTCTGGACAGCTTATTCTTTTACTTTGTACTTTGGAACATTTAGGTTTTAAAAACTTAAATGTACACTGACAATTTACAATATAGAGCTGAATTCTTCCCTTCCCCTCCCCCCCCAAGACGACTTTTAACATTTATGAGGGGCAAAGGTACTGGCTGGGAGAAGTTAATGTTCAGATGATTATGTTTACAAAATGCAAATGGCTGTCCTCACCTGATTATATACATATGATACATGAAACTTTGGGAACAGATGCTTTTAGAAGCCATCATGCAAGCCAGTCATTGATTTCACTACTACACAATGCTGCTAACTTAACTTAGCTATGTGATAACATTAGATCCCCAAATTGTAATTCTATTGGGTTTGCACAGAACACTTAAATCTTCTAAAGGAGCCTCACTATGAAGTGAGGAATCAGGAGTCAAACTGTAGAACTAAAATTAGAATTTAGTCTAGCATGCCAGTGTTTTTAACCTGCTTCTGGTAAATTCAGGTTTCCTGTGTTGGTTGCTGTAGGATTTCGTTTAGGTATTTTAAATCTTTTTTTTTTTAATGTGAGTTTTGGTATACTTTGCTCCTGGAAGTTGCTACAAGCTAGTTAGATGAAACAGGTGGCCATAGAAATAATTGACACTGAAAGGTCTTGCTTGGCATTTGGCTTCAGCAGTAAATAAACTTACTGCTAATAATCCCTGGTGTGAGTGACTGCTATATAGATACATTATTAGGAATATGGTCCTAACCTGGGGAATAATTCAAACTTTAATTCAGATCAATCAGTGTTGATCCCAATATTTTAATTTGTGCCTTTCAAGTCTTGTGTAAACCTACAGACTCCAGGAACAGGAGAAAACGGGTCAACTGATAAAGTAGGATATGATGTATATATGGCACAAAAAAATAAGGAAAAATTAAAATGCTTTCAAGGGGGAGTGATCTACACTAACAATTGCATCTATGCTTATATATTTTCTTTGATTTAATAAGAGCAAATGCATTCAAAAGCAGATCTGAATTTTTTACTTAATGCCCAATGGTGAGCAAAATTGAAGTTAGTTTGAAATAAGTGTTGATGAGAAGAAAACAGGAGATTGTTTTTGGTTCAAGACATGCTTTCAATCAAACTGAGCATGGTATCACAAACTCATCTACAGAGGGGCAGAAGAATTACAAGCATGGACTACATATTTCATAGTGAGGACCCTTTAAAGGTCCTCTCCTCCCCCCCAGTAAAAAGTACTCTTTGAAGACACAGTGCCTGCTGAACAAAAGCTGGGGAAATGGCTATTGTAGGTCAGTGGCAGAGAATTTGCTTAGAAATACTTAAAAGCAATGGAATTGATCAACACTGGTACTTAGGAAAATCATGTAGATAAATAGTAAAGAAGTGTAAAAGTATATTAAGATAGAACAAATTGGCATAGTCTGAGAAGGACCGCAGTACATATTGAGGGCCTTGACTAAGACAATTTTTAGATTTATTATAGAAAACAACTAGTATTTTTTTAATATTTGTTTAGATCATGTTTTGTATTTAAAGATTTCCTGTTAATGGAAATTGACTTTATACGCTTGCTCATTAATGTAATTATTGCAAGTCTAACAGACTATCCTGCACAAAAATACTTTAATAGGTAATACTTCTTAGGTAGTATACAGTTGGTTGTAAAAGCATAGTTGTATGTACATCAGTGCGAATATTTTTTTAATGTAGAATAAGCTTTAAAGTCCTAATTTTTTATATGAATGTAATTTTTATTAAAACAAACAGAATTTATAGCAGATTGCACTCCAGTATTCATTCAGTTTCCCCTAGAAAGACGAGAACAATGTTAATTGGTAAAATTCATGAGATTTGAGTAAGTTTTTTCTATATTAAACATTCTTGGACTTGGGTATTGGAAGTAACATTGGAAAACTGCTAAGTTGTAACTTTTTAAAAATAGTTGAGCCAAGATGTAGTTATCCATTGAGGACATAGTTAAGACCAAGATTACTTAAAAGGACTTAAAATAAACCACAAACCTTAATGGATTATTATCTAAAACACTCAGTAACTCTCCCTGGGGAACCTTTTTCTTGCATGATTTGTAGCTTAGCATTTCAGCAGAGGGGCAGATAAATAAATGTAAAGATGGGAAAGCATAGCCAGTTAGTGCTTTAGAGTTTAGTCCCTAGGTTTTATTATTTTTGTTTTTCTTATTTGGTATGGGTACGTGCTTGTAAGAGACAAATATTCAAAGAACTTTGGCAAACTCATGTTGAACTGGCCTTTGTCTCTTTTTCATTGATATCCTCTTGGAAGTGATTTTTATAGTGCTGATTGAAGGAGTATGCAACCTTTGGATATTGGTATAGAATAGTGGTTAAAACCAGAGGTCTTCCAAGTATACTGTGTTTTATTGTTAAACAAGAGTCAGTCTCATGCCAAACAGTGGGTTCAAAGTAAGAACTTGGCTAGGAATGATCTCGTATTTCCCCTTTGAGTAAAAGTATTTAGAAAATGAAATACCTTAAATTTAAAATTACAAACCCTGTGCCAGTGGACTAACGGGTGTTGAAGAAAAGTGATAGGCAGGTAACTGTAGTCACCTATCTAAATACAATCTTGAGGAATTTCTGTATGCCAAAATTTAGCAAGAGAAGGAAGTCGATGAGGGAAAAGTTTATTTGAACACAACTGAGCCTGCATATGGGGTTATTACTGTATTCAGAGTCAGGATACTGTTTATTCTGAACAACCATCCTCTAAGAAGGTTGCAGGCATTTATTTCTTTTGGACAATTGAACACCTTGTGTGGCAGTGACATAATGCCCTGTTCAACTTCTGTAAGTTAATTTCTGGAATTTACTTGGGTTTGAGTGAGCTAACAACTCAGCATTGAATTATTCACCTGCTTTCCTTAACCCATCTCATTGGGTGAAACTATAGAAAATAACTTACCCACTAGAAAAAAATCTTACACTTGGAGGACACCTAAAAGTTGGTACTGACCAAAAATTGAAGTCACGGACCAAAATTTGGTGTGAACTCAAATTATTAAAAGCATATCTAGATAAAAATAGTTTGTCAACTAAGTACCTAGCCAGTTGAGATGGGGAAGAATGGACAAGTGACAAGAATAGAGTTCCAGCATACTTCGTTTCTTGTAGCTTAGTAATAAAAACAATGTGTTGATTTAAATTTCATCTCCTTTTTCTTAGTCTGTTCATGTGACTGCTGTGTTGAAGAGTAAAGGGGCCCAACTAAATGTGTTCCAGTGATTCTAATAGGTATTCAAATTAATTGCTGCTTGTATATTAACCAGTTATGCTAGGTTTTCAGGATCACTTTCTACAAAGCTATTGCAACTAAGGATGGGACAATTTCTAAGCTTTCCTAATACTGCCTTTTTCAGAAGTGAAGTATTTGGCAATTGACAACTATTTCATGGGTTTGCAGAAATACATTTTAAAGACTCAACCCAACTTTTAAGACATTACCCTCAGGTCTATTTATTGCCAAACAGTGGCCTTTAGGTTATTTACCAATTTTTCTTTTTGTGCTGACACTAATAACAGCCTTAGAAAATTTGGGAAATAGGCTGTGAGGGCTTTTTGGAGTAATGAGGTGATTGATACATTGAAGTTGAAGATTAAATGAGAAATAAGCTGAAACCTAGAAGATGCTAAAAGTTAATGGGAAAGTGTGGTGTGAACTTGGATTGTGCCATCCCTGGGGCATTTACTATAATAAAATGTCACCTAGACATTTCAGCTCTTTGGGTTCATATAGTTAAAATAGCTGTACCCTCAAAAGGCAACCTAATGACTTCCAGTGAATAGGCAGCCAAAGGTTTCGACTAATGTTAGGGGGAAAAAGGTGCAGAAAAACTTCAGTAAGTTTTAAGTTTGTCTGGCAATGCATGTTTTCACATCATGGTATAGATGCATTTACTCAAACATCTTTATACTGAGTAGATGCAGATTAGTCTTCCAGTGCTGTCCATAAACAGGTGGTTAGAGATTCAAGAACCTTGTTCTACACTAAAAGTGAACAATAGAAATATTTGTCTAACCAGGTGTTAGCCGTCACATTTTGGTCAATGTCTTCATTTGAAACTGGGTGTAGTAAATACAGTTGAAAAACACTCAAATAATTTCAGCCACATGGTGCTTATCCAGTAGTTGGGCAGCTGAGACAGGATTATGTAACTTTTAATCTTAATCTAGTAGTGCTTATACTTAACTGTAAACTGTAACACATTGAAAAGTATTCTAATTTTTTCTTGTTGCATTAGCTTCACTTTCTCAAAAGTTGAAAATATTTAAAGTTGGACTTATAAGATGTATAAAATACCAGTATTTGGGTGGTAGTAATGGATACTGGCTATTATATTAACCTGATAATTACTAGACCATTAAGCTGCTTCAAAATTGATTCTAGAGGACCGTTATAAGTCAGAATTATAGAAATTGTTTAATTTTCCTACTTTCTAAGGTCTGCGTACCCAAAGAATAGTGTATATTAACATGACTTTTAAAGGGGTGCTTTGACACCTGTCACAGATTTTTATCTAGGAATAGAAGGATTCAAACCCTATTTGATCCTTAGCTCTTTGCTGAAAAGTGCATAAACAGGAATCCTGAATTTATAATATAGACCTCCGCATTATATAATCGAAGCAAAGGGAAACCATCGATGGAGTTAGAGGTACGTAGACTAAAAAGATGCTTGCAAATCAAATACTGGTTTTAGCATAGTTGAGATTTATTGTTGCCAAATTCAGTCAACAAGTCACAAGTCCAGGAAAAAAAAAAAGCTGTTGTATTAAATTTACCTGAGGTCCTTTTACTGAGATGGAGAAGCAAGGAATCAAAGAGGGAGGGCTTAAGGGAGGAGGGAAAGGAATAATACAGCCTAGGATGTTAGATAAAACTACCAAAAGAAACTTCAAAACCACTAACACTACAATTCTATTTTAATCAGCTATTTAGCTGGTACCTACTCCTATATCACCTAGTATGAAATTCGGGACTACTTGAACCATGAAGGAAGCAGTCAGTGTGCACAAGAGGTCATTGAAGGTAGGTTGAGCTTAAAATTTGCAATGTAATTTTGGGTTGGGGTGGACATGGTTTATCTTGGACCCTACCTCGTAAATACATAGTACTGTAACTCAAAATTAAGCCTGACCTTTTGGGAACCTACATGTGGTGTGGCTGTGACTTGATGCAAAATCACCTACTAAAGGCACACCCAGTTTCTGAGTGAAATGGAAAGTTAGCAAAGGTTTCTGGCAAGCATGGAGATTCTGGTGTGCAGGATGCTTGGGTGTCATTTGGGTTGGAATGAGTAGGTTGAATTAAGTGGGTCCATAGTAATTATACCTGTAATACCAGCATTGGGATGCTTGCAGTGAGATGAGTACAAGACTAAAAACATTAGTGCCTGCAGAAATAATAAAAAACATTTCAGGGAAGCCAAGAAAACTTAAATGCTTTGTGGCTCTTTTTATTCAGTTGTGCTGCTGTGAAACTGAACTTTGTAAGTAGTGAAGATACTGGAAATGTTACTGGCCAAGAGAGGTTTCTCTTTCACGGTAAGATGCACGATAACTGCAGTATAATAAAGCTAGAACTTCTATCAACAACCCTGTTAGGTTAAATCTGAGCGCATAAGAACACTCACTGTCTGTCCACAGCTTGTTAGAATAATAGGTTGGCCATTTCACCATTGACAAGTACTGCAAATTCTCTTTTATCAGTGGCTGAGTCCTGGGGTGGTTACTGACTGAAAACTTAGTTATACATGTATGTGTGAAAACCATCATTGACTGGGTAGTTATGCGATTCTGCACCCCACCCTTCATGGTGATCAAAAGGAAAACAGTCTTGTTGAAGGATAAAGAACAGAATAATTTCAGACATTGTCCTTTGGGTCATTCTGACAGCAGTAGGACCACTATCCTACTGTAATGGATATCCTTGTTGAAGTGCAGTTTTTCCTTCAGTTTGGTTTCGTACATTCAACACACAGGAAAGTTTCACACTCCCGTGTTTTTTGGCATGACAGTTGTGCAGTGTATAACAAGCATACTGTACTGGCTCCCAAGCCAGAAAGGTTTTCATGCAAGTGAGACAATACATACAATTCACACACAATGAGGTTTTTTTTTTATTGAACACAGTATATACATTTGTGGTGCTCCAGAGGAGTAAGTAGTTCAGTTTGGGTTCTCTACGCTCAGGGTTGCTCAGCTGTTGTTACTGCTCTTGAGTTTTCTTTCAGGATCAAGGTGGGTGCTTTCATATAAAATCTTATTTTTAATTCCTTCTCTGGCGATTCTCTCCTGGATTCTTTGTTTAGCAAAATTATACCTACAATGGAACCTTAGAGAAAATATGAATAAATTATGACTACTCCCAAATATATTTAAGGTGTTAAAATGATTGTATCTGTTGTAGAACATGTATACTATAGGATTCCCTTGGGTTCTATTTGGCTCACTATTTAAATTAATTTCATATCTTAATGGAATCCTGCCATTTATCTGTTCAAATATACAATGAATGCATTGACATAGTCTTAGGACAAATTTTGATTAAAAAAAAAAGATTATCCTAGTAGCACTAAGGAGAGGAGGAGGCGGAGGTCAGCCAGTACTACAGTGAGGGAGGGTCAGCCAGGACAAAAGCCCCTCCCACAATGGTTTTTGAAGGTGGTGGCGGCATGCACACACCTTTAAACCTAGCACTTGGTGGCAGGGGGGCAGAGTTCAAGACCAGCCTGATTCCAGGACAGCCAGGACACAAGAAGTCTTAATTTTCTGGAATATCTAGCAAACATACCAGCATCCTAAAGTCACCAGAATAAATCCTCCTACTCCAACATCACATGATCTCCTAATTCTACCTGTCAAAAACAAATGTAAATATAATTATGTCTGTAGAAAACGTTTCGCCGCAGAAATGTTTAAATGCTTAGGAGAAATACTCACTGGTCACCAAGAAATGTCCAAGTCCAGCCACAACAGATCCTAGTGAGCCATACAGAATAGATTCTCGTGCACATGGAATGTTCTCAACATCTAAAATTCCTAGGAGCTTAAAGGGCTACGATAAAATGGAAAAAAATCAGACTGAACATGAAAATAGAGTTATACTTACTAGTGTGTCCTATTTAATTTACCACTTTGGCGATCAGTTTGAGTATAGTGCCACTTAAAATTCACTGGGTGAACATAGTAATAGGTCATTTTTTGTATTTGAACAACTAGCTTTATAGTCTGTTTGTCCAAGGACATCTGCTCGCATGGGGGATGGAATGGAAATAGGTTTGACATTCTTAAGACACTGGTAACTTGGGATTGCAATCCTAGCAGTCCAGAAACTTGTAGCAAGAAGGTTGCTGCAAAATGGAGATTGGTTGGTCTGAGCTGAGCTCTAGGGGTAAAATCTCAGAAGCAAGATTGCAACTTGGTAATGTAGCATATGTGAAAGAAGCCACCCTTCTGGATAACTGAATGTCTTCTATACTGCCATTTAATGCAACTAGAGGATTGCATAGAGATGGCACCTACAATGGAAGTGAAGGGGATGGGGAAAGGAGAACAAAGTAGAAGGCAGGTCTGGTCCTTTTAAGGATGGAGGCAGAGCTGAACCTTGCCTATGTCTTACTGCTCCTTTGGCTCAAGGATCTGCTTGAAGATAAAATGTGACTTGATTCTCATTAAAGTAAAATTATGCTTTCCCAGATGACTTGTTTCTGGCTCGTTATTTGCTTGGATCACACACACACTCAACTTTCAGGTCTTCATAAATGTCACAGGCTTTTGTAGTTGCAACCTTTATGGGATGAGATCACACAAATCAGCTCACATAAAATAGGTCATGGCATTCCTAAACTTTAGAGCCTGAACACCCTCACCCTGAGGAATCAGATGGAATCAGATGAGGTAGTGGGTCCATCTAGCTTAAGTTTACATCCAGGACATGGAATGGACACAATGCTACAAAATGGGAACCTAGTCAAGATAAAGCGTGCTGCTGAGTCCTGATCCAAGCCACCTCTGTTGGATTCTCTATGGTTGAGAAACCATTGGTCAGTGTTCCTTTGGACAGATGAAAATGTAGATGCTGCCAAAGCTTTCAATGCATCTAAAATAGGCTTGAGTTGACCCAGCAGTTCTTCGGACATGCTATCTCTAGCACCTGTGGTGGCCCTGTAAGTCCAGTTCCAGAGTGACACTTGTTCGCCACACCAGACATGCATGCTGTACACCAGACATACCGACATAGGTGAAACGTCGTTTGGATCAGAACACCGTAACTGTCAATTGGCACAGGTTGATTAATAGGCAAGTCTTCCACCAGTGTGCCCAAGCTTCTTGCTTTCTTGAGTACTGATGCTATTTGGATGGTTCTTGGGGCAAACACATCTGATGGCAGTCCTGCTGCTACAAGGGCTCTAGGGATTGAGCTAACCAGTCTCACCCCAATCAAGCTACCGCTTTTCTGGGCCCTTTTTATGGCATTACTAATTAGATAGGTGCCTTGCACCTAATACTCCCATTCTCCTGTGTTTCAAGCAGCAACCCCTGAATGTCTATAAAATATTTTGAAAATCCTTCAAATCATACTTTTTCTAAAATTTCATTATGGCTTTTGATTGTACTTAGAATGCACTCCTAACCATTGCTACTAAGGCCCTCTATGCTCTGATAGGAGCTTTCTCCACATACCAACCTGCTGGTAGCAATTCTATATCTAACTGTTCACTGCCTAACAGGACGGTAATCTCCGTTTACCCCAGTAGGATGTCGGCTTCACAAAGAGCGGGGACTGTCCGATTACAGCCTAATCAATACACGCAGTACTCAATGCATTAGCGAATCTACCTTACCTGTGTGCTAGTATGTTACATGCTAGCCCGGTCTGTCCGTGTCTCAGCCTCATAAATACCGAGATACTGACACGTGTCACCTCTACTAACCCTTGCTACCTAAGTACAATGCATTGCTAGGTTAGTCGCCGTTTTCATTCCGATTCTGGGGGTCTGCTCTTGTGTGCATCAGCTGGCAATTTGGACACTCACATAGGGATGTGAGGACTAGACCGCCAGAATCGCTCGCGGTCATGCGGACCGGGCTAGAAAACCGGGGCGTCCTCCTGCGCGCCCACCCTCGCGTGCCCCTCGGCGTGCTTTACCTTCCTCTCCGGCTCCTGGGGCTCTCTTGCGGCAGCCATGGGTGCCAGTCGTCACTTCCGGCCAGCGACGGAAGCTGAGGGCCCCGCCCACTCTCCCGCGCGGCGGCGGCCGCCATCTTAGGGAGAGTTCATGTGGCTGCGTCAACGCCCGCCGTTGCCCCCTCCTTTGTTCCGTGGCCCCAACCACAGTTTTTCCAGTCCCGAAACCGGCCATCAGGAATGGGATGAGAGAGGAAGCAGCCTGGAGAAGCGCCACCGGCTCCTGTCTCGCCGGCGGGTGACCCGAGCCAGGGAGCGCCGAGAAAGTTCGCTTCCCCCAGTCCCTCCTCCGCCTTAACCGCCATTTCCAACCGTTGTGCGCGTTCCCGTGCCGGGCGTCCGGGTGCGCGCCGAGGGCGTGGCCGGGACCGCGCGTCGCACTCCGCTTTGTCCTCGGAGAGGGCGGGAGTCCGGGGTGACGGCCCGCGCTGCCGGAAGTCGCCTAGCCCTGTTCCTGTAGGCCCCGTCCCCTACGTGTCCTTTGTCCCGGCTTCGGTGACCTTGGGGGCTGCCCGCGTCCTCTGCCTCGGTCCCTCGCGGCGGCCTCCCGGCGCCCGGCATACCCGTGCTCCTTCCCTCCCTCCCCAGGTTTAGAAGGATAAAAATAGCGCGCCGCTGGGGTGGAGGAGACCCGGGACAAGATGGAGGCGGCCGCTAGCTGGGGACATGCGCCAGGCGCGCGTGTCTTCCGTCGGGAGGGAGGCCGTGGGGTGATGCCACGGCGACATAGCGGGGATGAGCCCCGAACGTGTGTGTCGTTGGGCTGAGTGACAGCCCGTGCAGCAGGCGGTAGCGGCTCGGTTCCCGGGTTGATGCCTTGGATCCAGCCTTGAACCTCTTTCTTTGTTTACCTCTTCCCGATTTGGCCTCTTCCGTTCCAAACGGTCCTCCCCGGAAAACGTTCAAACCTGGCATTGTGCAGAGTCATTCTGTCTCTAGCGTGGTGCACAGTGCACAAGAGCGTTCCTAACTACCATCCCGGCTCCTTTTTGTCTCTCATGCTTATTAACTGCTTTCCGACAATACCAAGATGGAAAAGTGATTTATATTTTTGTGTATATGCGTGGTAGATTTGGTATTTTAAAGTTTTTTTTTTTTTAATTTAAAAAACTGAACCGCTAGAGAGTGTAAAAGGCTCTACTGTTACTAGGGAATAGAAAAGGAACTGCTGTATTGACAGTTTGGGGTGCTCTGGTCTGCTGAAATTCTTGGCTAGCCAGGCTTTGAATTCTTGTCTAGGAAGTATTAATATTTAAGGTAGTATTTACTTAAATATTTAGTATAATATTTAAGGTAGTAATATTCCACTAAGGTATGAAGGATGTAACTGGGAAAGTACCGAGGAAGTAATGTCATTTCACTTGTTTAAAAACTGTTTTGTTAACAATGGGTAGTGAGAAGTAACTGGCTCAGCTGTCACCCTTCTCCCTGAAGGTGTGGATGATAACAATCAGTTTCTCCCCAAAGGGCATAGCGTTTACTCTGGAGCCAAATATGAGTGAATGACCATGGCCCAAGTACATGGACTCAGCCTGTCCCCAAACCACACTCGACATATAACAGTTTTATGAAGTTTATATGGTAACAAAAACACCGGTGGAAGCATCAGGTACGGGATACCTCTGGCTATAGGCTTTCGATTTTATATGATGACGGTCTTTGGGACTGGGCAAACCAGTATTCTGTTTGTACATTCTGGAAGGATAGGTACAAGGATAGATGTTAGGCTAAACATAGAAGTGGGAGGTGAATGGTTGTTGAGGAAGCTAAGGATAGCTTTAGATAATTTGGCTCCAGGCCTGCAACATTCCAGGTCTCTACTGTCACAGTTGAATCAACTGACCTTGTAGAAGTTTTAACTTAGGGGGGCGGTGGGGGGGGGAGGTGAGGCTGCATGGGTGTGGCTTTTTCCCATGTGAACTATAGTTCACAAAGCAAAAGGGCAGTTATGTTTTTCTAAACTGTTTCCTTAATTAAGTTACTACACAAATACATAAAATTTCAGTCCTTTAAAATAACACTGGATGCAGGTGTATTGACTGTCACCTGGAATCCCATCACTCAGGTTGAGAGAATTGTGATTTCAAGGCCAGGTACAGAATGAGACTGTGTCTCAAGAAACAAGTTGATAACTCACAGGAGGGTGGAAGGTATAGTTCAGTGGGGGAGTGTTTGCTGAGCACACCCAAGGGCTTGATACCCAGGACGGTTAATACACACACACACACACACACACACACACACACACACACACACACACATTTTTTAAAGAGATTTTTTTATTGATATTTATTGAGCTCTACATTTTTCTCTGCTCCCCTCCCTGCCTCTCCCTTGCCCCCTTCAAACCTCCCCCAAGGTTCCCATGCTCCCAATTTACTCAGGGGATCTTGTCTTTTTATACTTTCTACTTCCCATGTAGATTAGATCTATGTAAGTCTCTCTTAGGGTCCTCATTGTTGTCTAAGTTCTCTGGGATTGTGGTTTGTAGGCTGGCTTTCTTTGCTTTATGTTTAAAAACCACCTATGAGTTAGTACATGTGATAATTGTCTTTCTGTGTCTGGGTTACGTCACTCAAAATAATGTTTTCTAGCTCCATCCATCTTCCTGCAAAATTTAAGCTGTCGTTATTTTTTTCTGCTGTGTAGTACTCCACTGTGTAAATGTACCACATTTTCCTTATCTATTCTTCCATCCAGGGGCATTTAGGTTGTTTCCAGGTTCTGGCTATGACAAACAAATCTGCTTTGAACATAGGTGAGCACATGTCCTTGTGGCATGATTGGGCATCCTTTGGATATATACCCAAAAATGGTATTGTTGGGTCTTGAGGAAGGTTGTTTCCTAATTTTCTGAGACATCGCCACACTGACGTCCAAAGGGGCTGTACCAGCTTGCATTCCCACCAGCAATGCGGAAGGACACACAGATTTTAAAACCCACCATAACTTGCCAGAATCCATGTGGTAAAAAGCCTCCAATCTATTGCATGCATCTTTTTTATGCCATCTCTGTATGATTGTAGTGGGCCTGCCCTGTCAGCTGCACTTTCTTTTCTATCTTTGTTCATTCTTGAGAATTTTTATGAAATGAATGCAATTGTGACATTTGCCGAAAGCAATTGTTTACAGAAGCGGAGAGATAACAGTTAAATGGTCTGGCAGTGAACCTTTATTTAGCTCAGGGTCATATTGTTCAGGAATTTGGGGCAGGTTCAGAGACCAGTTCACCTTACGAATTTTTCTATTTTTTTAAAATAACTTATTTAACTTTATTTCATGTGCATTGGTGTGAAGGTGTCAGATTCCCTGGGACTGGAGTTACAGACAGTTGTGAGCTGCCATGTGGGTGCTGGGGATTGAACCCGGATCCTCTGAAAGAGGGGCCAGTGCTCTTAACCTCTGAGCCATCTCTCCAGCCCCTCACCTTACGAATTTATATGGCTGTTCCAGAGACCTGTTTACCCAAGACAGCACTTACAGTATTCTTGGGATTTTTTTTTTTTTTAAGGGTTTCTCTGTAGGTTCGGAGCCTGTCCTGGAACTAGCTCTTGTAGACCAGGTTGGCCTCGAACTCACAAAGATCTGCCTCTGGGATTAAAGGTGTGCACCACCACCGACCGCCCTGCTCTTAGTAAGTTTTTTGATAGGATGGTCTAAATGTAGTTCAGTAGCAGCCTGCTACACTTCTTCCATGTGGGTCATGGGGACTGAACTCAGGTCTTCAGGCTAGGCCGCAAGCTTCTGCACTGTCTTGCCAACCCCTGCTTACTCCTTTTGTAAGAATCAACTTTCCATAGCTTTTGTGCTGTAGCTCAGCGATAGAGCATGCGCTTGCCATGAGGGAAGTGTTGGGCTCCATCTGCAGTGTCCTGCAGACCAGTTGTGATGGTCTTAGTTCATAGCCAGACTCTGTACGGCTAGTTTCTTCTAGTTCAGTTGCTTTGCTAATCTTGTTTATGGAATTTTTCAGTTTTCAGATATTTAACTTTTCAATGTAGGGTCACATCTATCAGTGCATTCTTTCACAGACCTTTTTAGAACTATTTATTTCCTTGCAGGCTTGTGTGCTTTGTGTGTATTAGTACATGCACCATGGTGTGCATGAGGAAGTCAGAGGACACTTCTGGGAGTCAGTTCTCTCCTTGCACGATGTGTGCTCTGAGAATTGAACCCAGAATATCAGACTTGGTAGCAAGCTCCCTTACCCGCTGAGCAATCTGCTCCCCACCCCCACCCCTTGTATAGTTATAGTGTTGCTAGATGTAGCACGGGACAGCAGTTATATATTTAGAGGGCCTGAAATAAGTCTCTAATAAGAGATTTGATGTTACTATGTTTTTTAGCTGATTTACTATATCCCCTTCCCCGGCCCCCATTTCCTCATATTGTTTCTTTGCTTTGTATTCTTTTTGTTTTGTTTTGGTCTTTGGTTTTTTGAGACAGGGTTTCTCTGTGTAACAACACTGACTGTCCTGCAACTAGCTCTTGTAGACCAGGCTGGCCTCGAATTTGCAGAGATTCACCTACCTCTGCCTCCCAAGTGCTTGGATTAAAGGCGTGCACCACCACCACCCAGCTGCTTTACCTTGTTTTCTTGATGATAAAGTGTTGTGGAGAGTTCTACTCTGGTCACGTTTACTTAGGGTCCTAAGTGTTCTTGTGTGTGAATGTCTACTTCTAGAGAAATAAGTATACGTTCTCACACAAGAAATTTTGTTACAATTTCATTGAATAAATTCTATGCCTGGGGCTGGAGAGATGGCTCAGTGGTTAAGAAAAGACCCGGGTTCAAATACCAGCACCCATATGGCAGCTCATAACTGCCTGCAACTCCAGGGTCTAACACCCTCACACAAAATATACATGCAGGCAAAACACTGATACAAATGATAAATCATTAAAAAAAATTCTCTATGCCTTTAGCGTACATGTGTGAGTTCCTAGCTGCATAGTCTTAGATTTGATATCTCTTTCTTTGTTTAGTTTTGTTTGGTGGTTTTTGTTTTTAGAGATCGTCTCTCTGTATAGCCCTGTCTGTCTTAGATTTCTTTGTAGACTAGGCTGACTTCGAACTCAGAGATCCTACTGCCTCTGCCTCATGAGTG